GCACCTTCTCAACCCATAAATTATTTCTGCTAATCGTGCAAAATAAACAAAATGGAGAAAAGTAGGTTCTTTTCTGAACAATCTTAGTCATAGTTTCTACTTTCTTGAAAATCATATTGTTCAAGAATCACATTTAAATGGCAAAAAATAGATAGTCCGTATAATGATCAATTCCTGATTTTGTATTCTGGTGCGAGGTCAATACCTTAGTTCTGGTTTCGTCTTCAGCAACTGTCATTGAAGCTTTGTCATAATTAGATATCTCTCGAATTCTTATTGAATTTTGTTTGGAATAAGCATATTAGTTTCTTCACTCAACTGTTTTCAGTTAAATTCTGACCTAAAGAAAATAATAAGACAAAAGGATATTGATTGCCCTTAACATTACAATATGCACAGGAAGACCCTGGATCCATGTGAAATCCCAAATTAAGAAGGAATATCCCACTGTGCTGTATACGTCATGGACAGTACGCTATATAATCTCATTTTAGCTTTCGTGCTTAAAAATTGTCTCCCTATTATTGAGTAAGAGGGGCAAAATATGACACTATTAAATTGAACAAATAATGCGCAGTTCTGGCCAGTTGTTGGATGGGTAAATCACCAATATGTACCCCTTCAGTTCCGGGTTATAGTCCAAAGTGTAGTTGCGTGTTTCTGGTATGTTGCTTTCTGCCTTTCTCTCACTTGGAATTTCTTGTGTTACATTCTAGAGAACAAATTTATCCTCTATTTCACTTCTATTACTACTACAGTGAATTTGGATTTGTAATATCAGTTTTTATTTCATTTCTTTCACTCATCTTCCAGGGGAATATTTTTGAACCTGCGAGCAAGGTCTATGCCACTAACAAAAGGTTAATGAAGCTCGTGAGAAAAGGAATGTGCAACAAGTACGTTTATGTAGTCTATGAACACTTGACAATAGTGGCATTCTTTTTCGTTGTTTCTTTGCCTCTCTTCACATGTATTTTTCTTCAACAGTTTAGACGTGAAATCTGAACGTTCATAGGATTGCTTCTCTGCAAGCGCTTTATTATGCCAAACTATTTATTTATCCAAGCTGTGGTTGTAATGACTTTTTCGAGCTTAATTGCCAATAGTCTGTTTTTGACCTCAGAGAAGAAAAGTTCCTGGAACTTGCAATTTCATATTTACACCCCATAAATGGCCTTCAGAGAATAGAGTTTAATAGATATAGTCATTGATCACACTGATGTTTTTGAAGAGTCCTGCGTCTGAGGAAAGGAGAACATACATAAATACAGTTTCATTGAGGTTTATGTAGAAGGTTCTTATAATCACTATAAATTGTCATAGTTAATTTTCCATGAAATTAAGGACGGGTGACATTCGAAAGCATTTTCAGATGGCGTATCTTTTTGCAAAGGAGAACTCTCTTCCTACAGGTGAGAGGGGGATAAAAGAGCAGCAACGAGCTTCACGCGCTTCAAAGCATGGTGTCAAGATAAGAGCAAGAGGATTACGAAAAATTTCTTTAAATCCTAGAAGCTAAAAAGGTACGAGGATGGCAATGAAAATAAGGAAACACGACATGGGAAAAAAGGAATGCAATCATTGAACCTAAAAGATGTATCTGGTTTCCCAGGTTGCGGGAGAGCGATAAGAGAAGAAATTGTGGAAATTACAAGGAGGCCTACTTTTAGAAATTGCATTTCAAAAATTAGAATTATGGTTTATATATACAGATTGCATTTCAAAAATTAGAATTATAGTTTATATATACAAAAATCGGATGATAATACAATATTTTAATATTAAATAATAATATTATAAAATTTAATTAATTATATACTCACGCCCCAAATTCTAAAATTTGTTTTCTTCCTTCTTCTCAATCCATTCTCTTTACTCTACCTTTCCTTCTCTCTACCTCACCATCGTCACCAGACATTAAGACGCTGGAGCAGCGCTACAGCTTTGTGCGCAGTGGCATCATCATCGTTGTGTAGAGGAGCCGAGCACAACGAATGGGGGTGATGGTTGTTTACATGTTTTGGTTGTGATTTTTGTTTGTAGAGATGGTGGTGGTGGATCTAGAGGTGGAGGTGGAGGTGGGTTTTTATTGGATCGACAATGGATCTAATGATGGCATTGTTGGATCTGGTTGTGGTGGTGGCTATGTTGGATCTGGCAGTGGCGGTGCTTTTGTTAGACTTGGTGGTGGTGGTGGTAATTTTAGTTGATATAGGCGGTGGTGGTGGGGTTGGGTTGGGTTGGGTTGGGGATGTGAGTGTTTGTAACCATTTGTTTGGTTGATTGTAACTAGTAAACTGGTTAATATATGACCAATTATTTGATTGAATGTTGCCAATAAATTGGTTAATTTGTAATCAATAAATAATATGCGATCTAAAAAATGCGATTGTGACTCGCACAATTTATTAAGTTGTGATAGAAAAATTACTCGCGATCAATTTATTTGATAATTTGTGACCATTAAATAGGTTATAAAATTTGTGATTTTGTGATCCTGAAATAATTTTTGACCTATGATATTTTTTAATTAATTATTTCATAAATAAAATTTAATAATATTCGATTTTTGAAATTTTAAATCTTATTTCTTAGTTTTGAAATGGGTAAATAGTTAACTCTTGGATATGAATTTTTCTCGAGAAAACTTGGGTACTTGTTGGTTTGGAGACTCAATTGGCCACCTTCTCCGGTCCATATCCTTCAATCGCCCTAATTTAACATGTGCTAAATGCCATATTCCTGGCAGCTTGGCTCTGTCACCTATGATTTGGTATCAAGGAAAACTCCTATAACGAACCCCCAAATCTGGAAAGAAATTAGAAAATTATGAGACAATGTCAGGCCTTGTCATTGATTAACTATATCTTGTTTGAGCCCCATTATTTGGTTAAGAATGCATTTTGAAATAGAAGATTGATAGAGATAGTGTAGTTAACAAATAAGATTTTTTTTGAATTTAAGTTGAATATTATTTTATGGGTTTATCCCCTTGTACCGAAAAGGGGGTACTGAATTTTGTACACCCCTCACAAAAAACGTGGCCCCTACGTGTATTAAAAAAGTCGGCTCGTGGTCCCCACCTTTTGGTGTGAGTGGGGTGTAAAAGATTAGGTAAAATATGATGTACATGTAGCATAATTCTTATTTTATTGAAGAATTTTTGATTGAAAAGAAAAAAGAAAAAAATGCATTTTAGAAATAACGAGAATCAAACAAGATACTGAAACAATTATGATTAATATGGATTCCATGTCAGTCACGAAGGATTTTAGAATAAGGCTGTTTGTACAGCCCGATAGGCCCCACCCCTTGAATGTGAGAAGGTTGTCATCCGAGCTGTCACCCGAGCTGTGAGTGTAGCAAGACTCAGGATTTTATTACATGCCCAAGTTTCTCAACCACCGAGTCACAATTGAGTGACAAGATGTCCTGACCACACATGCTCCCCTAAGCAATGGAAAAATGATGGAGAGCCTTTCGAAGCTCTTGTTTGATTGTCCTTGTTGTGTAAAAAAGATATTTTGAATACTAATTTTTTGGAGAATGTGTGGTTCAGAATGGGAAAATTTTTTGAATTACATGCAAAATGTTTTATTGTGTAAATGTGTGATTGAAAATGAGTGTGAGAAATAAATTGTTTTATTTTAAGAGAGTCAAATATGGGGTAAAGACCTTGATTTGACATCCAATATAGATATGTACATTGGCGTGAATAGAGGCAAAATTAACATGGATTTTAATGCACTAAACCTATATGTACACAACAAATTTTTGGACAAATTACAAAGTATAAACATCAAAAAGCTAGGATTTAAAAATGCTTTCAATAAATAAGGCCATCCACAATGGAAAAAGGGATTAAATAACTTACATCCAAACTTCTACTCTAAAAATCTACCTCGAATTAAAACAACTTCACCTATTAGACCTCTCGAAAATCGAAATACTCCGATCTAAAAACATTTTCCTGCCAAGAATGCCTAAATCTCCATCTCGCACTTTCTATACAAAAATTTGAAGTCCAAAACACGCTAAAAATCCCCAAGAGGAAAAAATTTGCCAAAATTTGAAAGGAAGGACTATCATTGACTTTAAAAAATAATTTCTATTTTTAAATCAACAGACTATATCATGTATCATGACTAAAATAGATGCCCAACATAGCTTTTATAATGTAAAGGGAAAATGGGGTTAAGGAACAAGCAATCTTTAATACTCTTAGAGCAATTTACTTCACTCATTTCTGCTTTCCATTCTCAGTTCCTTGTAAGTTGTAACTCATGTCATTTTTGTTGTTTTTTCTTAAAAATATATATGAGTACAAAAACCTTCATCACAAGAATAAATATGGAGATTTTAAATATATTCGAAGTTCGGCGTCCCACATCATAACATTCGTAATTAATTAACTTATTTTTCATGGCCATATTATCTTGTCTTCAGTACCATTTCGAATTATTTAAGTTCATAATTTCACCAATTATAATTTTTATATAAAAGACATGAGACATCAGTAAGGAAATTTTTATGATTTTCATATTCATATTCAATTAAATTGACAATTTCTTTATAACTGATTATGCATGGCCATATGTCGTCAGTACTATTTGGACTAATTTAGGTCAATAATTTCACCAAATTATAATTTTACATGCAGTATGCTCTTGAAGAAAAGTCAAGTCGTGTTTAACCATTCAGATCTAAATTATTACTTATTTGCGCCTTTGGCCGTTTCAAAATGTTTTGTAGGTCTCCGAGTTGAAAGTCAAATTCTTGCAGCCATAATCAAGAGACTGTGAGACCAAAAAAATAAAGAAACAGTCCTTTAACCAATTCAAACGCTGAAAAATATTACTATGATTTCAACTTTCTATTTATATATGCAGCAATATATGTATTCTCTTCATTCAAATCCCAAGAATAGAATTATCATAGTTACAGACGCAGATATCAAAAAGCTCATCAAGAAAAGATTATATTGTCATAAAAGAAGAAAAATGGCAACCCTTCAGGCTTCTGGCATCATGGGTTCGTCCAGTTCTTCTTCTTCTTACTATGATCGCAGAGAAGGAATTATTCGGGCAACCTTAAATGTTCCGAGGAGAATGACAGACATTTCTCTTCCGGGGCTACGGACAAAGGGAATTGTGGAGGAACTAGAGTTACACAATTTCACTGATAGAAAACTCAGCCCTATTGATGTTAATACGTTTAAAAGAAATGATAATAGCGGTCCTGATCCGTTGGTAATTGCTAAACTTTATGCAATCCTCGAGGCAGTTGCTGATAGGGTGGAGATGCACAAGAATATTGGGGAGCAAAGAAACAATTGGAACAGCCTGCTTTTGACATCCATCAATACACTCACTCTTGCGGCGGCAACTATGACAGGAATCTCCGCCACGAGTGCGATAGGTGGTGGTGCTCCGGCGGCGGCATTAAAGCTTTCTTCCACCGTCATGTATCTTTCGGCAACTGGGATGCTTTCGATAATGAACAAGATTCAGCCATCTCAGCTTGCGGAGGAACAAAGAAATGCAGCTAGGTTGTTCAAACAACTTCATAATCAGATTGAAACAATTATAGCAATGGGTAATCCTACAACTAATGATGTGAAGGAAATGATGGAAAAAGTGTTGGCTCTTGACAAGGCATACCCCCTTCCTCTTCTTGGCGCAATGCTCGAGAAATTCCCCGCGAATGTAGATCCTGCAGTGTGGTGGCCGGAGCAGCGCCGCAGACAGGCGAGAGGCCTCGATGGGAAGAAAGGCTGGAATGGTTGGAATGGGAAGTTGGAGGAGGAAATGAGAGAAATAATTGGTGTTATAAGAAAGAAAGACAAAGCAGATTATCTAAGGTTGGGAAGAAAAGCCTTGAAACTGAACAAATTTCTAGCCATTAGCGGTCCTGTGCTAACAGGATTAGCAGCACTGGGCTCTGCTTTTGTGGGGTCTCCTGATCACGGCTCTTGGGCGGTGGTGCTCGGAGTTGTTGCAGGTGCTTTAGCAAGCGTAGTAAACACATTTGAGCACGGTTGGCAAGTCGGAATGGTGTTCGAGATGTACCGGAGCAACGCGGGATTCTTCAAGCTGATGGAAGAGTCCATGGAATCAAACTTGGTGGAAAATGATATGGAAAGAAGAGAAAATGGAGAATTGTTTGAAATGAAGGTGGCGTTGAAGTTGGGAAGGAGCCTATCGCAGCTTAGAGATCTTGCAGCTTCTTCCGGCAAAGCAGAGGAGGAAATTGAGGAGTTTGCAAGCAAGCTTTTCTGATGATGACGAGCTCATTTGGATGTTAATTTTTTTGTGGATACAAGACATGTAAATGTTAATGGTAACGTAATATTAATTTGTAAATTTCTGGAGAGACAAAAAACAATTCTTTTATTTTACTAAAAATGTTATCCAAACAGATGTTTATTGAGAAATGAATTTACGAGAGCTTTATTGTGCACGAACTTTCGTTTTTTGTTTTTTAGCTGCAAGTAGCAACTTCATAAATATATTACAAATTTAGGAGGTGTCCAACCTAACCTCCTGCTGAAGGTGCAATGAAAAGACTTGCCCATTTGGAGATGGGGAGTACACAGTAAAATCAAGAAGTTATACATCATTTGTCCTAAAGTTCTCCTTGTTACCATATGTCGATTGTAGAATCTCTTTGGCTATAGATCACTTTCTGACGCGCTTTTTGATAAGTATGTTTTTATAAGGTTATCCATTCTTTTATATTTGATGAATTATGGTTAACGGGATAGATCTCTACTTAATTTAGTTTAATTACTTTAATTGCATAAAAAATGTGGATTTAAATGAAGTTGGTGCAAAAAAGGGCGTTTTTGAGCTAATTTGGAGTTGGTTCGAAACTAAATGTATGGCACGTGAGCGTTGAGAAGGGTTAAGCCTAAAATTGTAATTGGCAATTTCTCAAGTCAAAATCATATTTTAGGTGAATCGTATTAAGAATAAATCGAGTTGAAATCAAAGTCAACATAGATTTAGTAAAATCCGAGTTATTGTTGAAAATAATTTGGGGTTGATAGAGCCCAAAAAGAAATTAAAAAAAAAAAAAAATCCAAGAACAAGATCAAGAGAAGGACGTTTTTTCGCTAGTCTACCGTCCAGTAGGCGCTCGAGCGGTAGGTGTGCTGCTCACCTAGCGCTCTAACGGCAGGTCACGGACCAAGTTACCTGTTTTGCTTCAAACTCTTGATTTTGAATTATTTTTCATCTTAAACATTTTTCCCTATATATATCAAACCCCATGAATTCCCAAAGCGTGTTGAATCATAATTATTCCGTTAAGATCATTCTTTTGAAGATCCAAAACACTTTCGTTGATTTCAAAATTTAACAACTATATTATTTGATTAGTAGATTCATCCAAACTTAGATTTGTTGATCGAGTCATAAACATTCTACATGCAACCACATATCAAAACACAAGAGATCTTTGATCAAACGCCTAACCTACCTTCTCCAATTAGATTTCAAAGTTGTTGGGGGTTTTGAGAGAGGCGCTTGGAGTTCTAGCACTAAAGAACGAGGTTTGTTCCTGGAGGTCCACAGAAGGTAAACTATAACAGGGTCGGAAGCTGGTGTCAGGAATACGTAGTCCAAGAGGGCCACGGTGATTACAGGAGGAAGGTCAAAGGGGACTAAGGGTTCGTCGGGTCTGGACCATACTGTATGTCACATCTTTTACAATGAATTATTGACTGGTAAAGTGTTCGGAGTTTTTGATCCTTGCGAAGGATTTTCTTTGTGATCATATCGATATTATTTACTGTTTTCGATTTACAAACTGTGGTATTCAAATTTAGGATAAATTGACGTGGTTAACCAAATCATCTAGAAACAATTAAAAAGCAACTTGTTGCTTTTAATTGTTTAATTTTGCATTGGGGTCTAAACTTCGGTAAATTTAAACTTTCAAGACGTAAAAACGAGAGCTATTGGAAGAAAATCACAAGTTTTGCAGGTGAAATTCAACTTTTGAAAAGTCTGGAAACTAATTTGTGTAGTTTCGGAACTCAAGATGAACCAATTTTGAATGATTATGAAGTTTTGAGGATTAATCAAGAATATGTTGAAAGTTACGACATGAAAATTGAAGTTTATGATGAGAAATGAAAAACTTGAAAAAAGAACTAAGACTTCACGGAAAAGATAGAGTTTGGGGACATAGTTGAATGAATTTGGAATTTGAAAATAGGGAAGATTACATATTCAAAAAAATAAGTTTAACCTATTTCAAAAATAAGAAAACAAATTTGAAATTTTCAAAATCAGATTTTTATTAAAAAAATTTAAATTTTTATTTATTCAATAATAAATTATTAAATTAATTTATTATTAAATATTTAATTATAATATAATATAATTAACTCATCCCACCTTCACCACCTCTATCGCTCCGGCGACCGTTCCGATCACCGCCGTACTCCGACGAACTTTTCGAGGACTGTTTCGGCGACTACTCCGATTCCGGCGACCATTCCGACGACTATTCCGGCAACCGTTCCGGCGTCGATTTTTTCGGCGATTGCTTCGCTATATTTTTTTGTACGGTTAACATTTTTTTTTACGGTCACAACCCAGGTCACAAGTCACATGTCACAAGTCACAGAGCCCATGTCACAAGTCACAGCCCATGTCACAAGTCACAGCTCAGGTCACAAGTCACAAGTTAAGAGTCACGGCCTATATCACAAGTCCTAGCTCAGGTCACAAGTTATAAGTCAAGAGTCACAGCTCAAGTCACAAGTCACAAAGCAAGTCACAGGTCAGGTCACAAGTCACATGCTAGATCAATAAGAAGATCAAAATCCACCGGTGCAGCCTCCTTCCCCAATTCCATCCTCAAATCCACCACCCAAATCGCCGCCTTCCCCACTTCCCTCTCTCGCTCATTTACCCACGCCACCATTGTCCAAAAGCACACCACCTGCTCATCCACAACCCTCCATTTTTGTTTACACCATCAGCCACTGTCGCGCTATTGTTCGACGTCGACTAGTGGTGGAGAGTTTGCCGAAAATTCTACAAAAGAGCAGGGTGTTTTTGGGTAAGAGAAGGTGGGGTAGGGTTGAAATCGGAAGAGATGCCACTGCTTTCTTTTCCGATTTCAACTTCAGATTTTTTCTGAAGCATTACATACATAAAACAACTAAGAATCGCTCAAAATAAAAATTCAAAACCAGAGGACGATCGGCCTCATCATTGCCCATAGATTTAAGTATTAAATGGGATATTCTCCTTCCCCTCATTTTTTGTGTAGTACTTTGATTTGGTCTCAATCATCTGAAAAACTTCGATCCAACATCCAACATCATCGTCCACCTTCGATCCAACAACTCACCTCCACCTATAGATCCACCACTATCGCCAGCAACAGCCATCGCTCGTTGTTGTGTGGGGACTGCATCGTCGGCAGCTCGTGTGGGGAGAGAGATGCGAGAGATGAGATTTAGAGAGAGAAAGTATGTGGATGTGTCGCCAATGCTGAGTGGTGGCTGCATCGCCGGAGCTTGTGCGGAGAGAGAGGG